AGAGCAGGGTGAGGAGGCACAGACACACCTCCGAGTCCCCGGGCAGAGACAAGGGGAGGCTGTCCAAGCTCAAGCCCGTGCCGCCGCCCCTGCCCGGCCCCGCGGGGAAGTCTGGGAAGGCCTCGCAGAGCCCCGGCCAAGAGGCCACGGCGGAGGCTGGTGCGAAAACCAAGCCCGCGGGTCTGGTTGTGGATGCTGTGAACAGTGACGCTGCCAAGCCCAGCCAGCTCATGGAGGGCCTCAAAAAGCCAGCGCTCCCTTCCGGGCCCAAGCTGCAGTCCGCCACCAAGGCACCAGGGACCCCCACCAGCCCGGCACCCGCCCCCTCCGTGCTGACAGCAGCATCCTCGGGCCTGGCAGGGGACCAGCCGTCCTCCACCGCCTTTGTGCCCCTCATATCCACCCGGGTGTCACTCCGGAAGACGCGCCAGCCCCCAGAGCGCATTGCCAGTGGGGCCATCACGAAGGGCGTGGTCCTGGACAGCACGGAGGCGCTGTGCCTGGCCATCTCCAGGAACTCGGAGCAGATGGTCAGCCACAGCGCGGTGCTTGAGGCCGGCAAGAACCTGTACACGTTCTGCGTGAGCTACGTGGACTCCATCCAGCAGATGAGGAACAAGTTCGCCTTCCGAGAGGCCATCAACAAACTGGAGAACAACCTCCGGGAGCTGCAGATCTGCCCGGCGACCGCAGGGGGCGGCCCCGCGGCCACTCAGGACTTCAGCAAGCTGCTGAGCTCCGTGAAGGAGATCAGCGACATCGTGCAGAGGTAGCAGCAGCCAGGGCGCAGCAGCTGGCCCTGTGGGCCCAGCCCCACTACCTACGTCCTACGCCTCTGGCTCCCTCGACCATGCGGTGGTCCTCACGCTGCGGCTGGAGGCCCACCCTGGACTGTGCTCACCTGGCTGGGGCCCCCGAGTGCCGTGGACGGAGCTCTGGGGACCCCTCTCCCGGAGACCCTCCGCTGGCTGTGCCTTCTGTGTCGCACCCCCACCCCGGGCGTCGGACGCCCCCGTGAGAGCCCCTTCCTGGGAGGGTGTGCCCACCAGCGCCCCCACCCGTCACTCCACGCTCCGGGCCGGCTCGCTGGATCTCCTCGCGTGGAGGATGCGGAGGTTGGAGGGGAGCACGGGGTGCAAACTAACTAGCCTCTGAGCCCCGTGGGTCTGGGCCCAGCTCTCGCTCCCCCGTGTGTGCTGCGAATCCTGGCTTGAGTCCTGAGGGTGGCAGCGGCTTCCGACCAGGCTCTCGCCCTCCTTGCTCCTCTGAGATGGCACGGGCGGTTGCCTTCAGGGCTGCCCGAGACCAGACAGCCTCCCGGCCGGCCCAAGCCCT